GTGGTGTTAGTGGACTGGTCGGCTTGATGCAAATGTACCACCGAGCAAGTGTCCTCGGCCATGCGGTCTTGATGAACGAAGGGTACCAACTCACCGTTCCCGAATTCGAGACAGGCTCGGGTGCAGTTCACGACAGCGCCGAGCTTGCGGAGCATGTTGTATCCCAAAATGCAAGGACTCACCGCCCCGTCCATGACCCACAGTGAAAAGTAGGCGCGGCACGTCCCGACGGATACCACAAACTTGGTGAGCCCCTACGTGGGCATCTTGGTGTTGGACGCTGAGATCAACCCGTACTTCGATTGCACCAACGGAGGGCTTCCTAACAGACGCCAGATGTCGGGGTTGATCACACTGACAAAGGAGCCGATGTCCACCAGGGCGTTCACCTCGACTGGGAGTTGTCGATGCTGGATGACCGCCTTCACGAGGGGAACCGCTGAGCCTTCGGCGACCTGACCCACGACCAAAGGCTCGGAAGGCTCACCAGTCGTCGTCATCACCCGACGAGCGCAGTCCTCACGAACATCGTCATCCGGGACATCCCGAAATGGCCAATCCATGTATGGGCTTGTGACTGCCGCCGAGGCCTTGACGAGTCCCGTAATGCAGGCTGCGCTTGGCTTTTTGACTCCTGTCGGTTGAATTCTTGACTCGACGAGGCGTCGTGAGGTGCGTTCCGTCTCGCTGAAAGGCGCTGAAGTACACGCGCGGAGCCGACGTTGCTTCACGTTGCCGACGCCAATCCTTGGAGGGCAACCGCGTGTCTTCAAGTTGGACTAATGGTAAGTCGGCTTCAATGTCCGAGCCCAGAAAACGCCATCGGGCCAATGCAGCGAACCGGAGCTTCAGTCGGGGTCGGTTGGTAGCTCGTTGCAGAGTTGCAACTTGAGGTGTTCGTCCCGTATCACTTTACTCCGGGACTCTTCGGGACGTAGGGCCCATGCCTCTCAATTTTTTGAGACCCAATGGTGGACCGATACAAGCGAGCCCACCGGGTGGAAGCCACCACCGCGTCGCGACCAGTACTGAAGTCTCCGCTAGCGGTCCGGGCTTCTTCACACGTTTTCAAGGCGTCCCTGAACCACTGGCGCCATCCTACAGGGTCGTCGATGTCGGCAGTGTTTTCTAACATACTTTCATCGCTTTGGTCAAAGGTCGCTGCAGGGTTGCCATGATGAGGTCCACTATTTCTTGATGGGTCACGTCCCAGCGCAGAGCGCGCAATGCCTTGACTTGTCGTTCGATGTCCGCGGCGGACAGCGAGTAGAGCCGTTCCTCAACATCCACATGCTTGGACGCTTGAGTCTGCTATGCCCTCCCAGTCACCGATTCGTATCGCTTCGATCTGCTCCATCGAGAATACGGCCGGCGTCGCCGGGTCCATCGTTGTCGACATCACAGAGACGGCCGGGTTAATCGTCTCTTTTGCGGGAACAACAGTCGACATGAAGCGCGTCGCTCCCCCGCCTTCGTTGGCGCTGTTATTGTCGTCCGGGACCTCACCATCCCGTTTTTGTCTTGTGTCTCGGTCAGAGCCCCACTGGCCCAAGGGTCGTCTTCTTCATACCCACGGCGTTCAGTCCTCACGGGGTCTCTTCTTTCGTATCCAGGGCATCCATTCCTCCTGGTTCTCGTTCATCATCATCATGGCTCAGGGCATCGTGTTCTCTTGAGGGTTCTTCATCATCGTCCTCGCCCAGGGCATCGTGTCCTCCTGGGGTTCTTCCTTCATCAGCGCCCAGGGCATTATGTCCTCTTGAGGTTCTTCCTTCTTTCATAAACGCCACCACCTCGTCAGGTGTGGGTTGCTTGGCCCATCGACTACCAGGGCGGCCCCTCCAGTTCCGGTTAAGGAGGGTTCCTTGTAGTCGAGAGCTCTTCCTGCGGGCGAGTAGCTCAGCCCCAACATTCGACCGGACGTCGTCTTGTCCCTTGGCGACATCGTCGGAGCCGCTGACGCTTCAGTACACTCCCCGTTTCCACTTGTTTTCAAGGCGTTCGGGACGACCAAGTCATCCTGGATTCCCACTTTCACTTCCTTGCTTTCTTCTGTCTTCACTTGCGCCTCAGGTCGAGGCGTGTCCTTCGCTTTCAGTCCATTTCTTATCATTCTATCGAAAGTCATTTCTCCAGGATCGATCGGTACCGCGCCACTTTCGGCGGCTCGCATCCGACTTCCGAATCCTCACTGGGATCCTTCCACACTGGAGGCTTGGCTCCGCAGCAGAAGGCATTCCAGTTGGAAGTTTCCTGGTTGGTTACACGCGTAGCAGTTGAAGTTTCCAGGCGTCAATCCCGGTCCACCCTCGCGCCCATTTGCGCTCGAACCGCGGAAGCCATTCTTCGAGGACAGCCGAGGCAGACCACACTCCACCAGATGGTGACCCTTGGACGGACAACGCATACAAGCGAACGTTCGACGGGGGCAATTCTCTCGGCCATGACCAACCAAGTAGCACCGCCCACAAACAGTCAGCCGTCATTGGTGGTTCGGTCAGGGTTGGGTCGGTCGTTCGGTTGCACCGCAGTATTCCCGTCCGCTCGCATCCCGGACGACCCAACCCCAGCGTTACCAGCCACCACTTTATGCAGAGTCGTGTCTTGCCGAGCACTGAGCTCCGATTCCTCCTGCCGAGGTTGAGTAAGAGTATTCTGGGGGCTAGACTCATCCCGGAAACCCCCCGAAGAGCGTGAATCTCTTGGGCTACCGCGAATCGACGATTGGCGTGACGAAGTCGAGGCCACCGTGTCCGGGGCCGTCTTTCGAGCTGTGAACCGAACGTCGTCCCCACGTTGATCAATTTCCACATCCCGTTCGCGCAGGTATTCTAGGCAGTCGCTGACGGAGCGGTGTCTAGACAGGGCACCTCGCAAGCCCGCCGACACCACGTTGTCTTCGCTCCCATTGATCGGCATGGCTACGGCGATGGTGGGGTTCATGTCGGCATCCCGGACTCCATCAGCCATTCGCCAGGCGAACTCCCGTACCGCTTCGGTCGGACGGCGCTTGGAATGGTCGGTGATGTCAGCCATATTCCGATTGAGGGGCTTTGCGATGAAATCATGTCGGAACGCTTCGCGGGCCTCCACCCAAGACACGTTGGATCCATCCCGACAACGACAGCCCACCAGTCCTGTACCGAGCTGTTGACTGCCTTCTCTTGTGCGTCTTGCAAATTCGGGGTTAACTCTGCACGTAGTTGTATTAGGAAGTGTAATCAAACTACGCCTCCGATCTCTTGTGCTGCGATCTTTCCGGTTGTCTGCTTCCGTCGTTCTGGATATTGTCGCCAAGAGGGTAGGGTACATTG